TCACTTGCTTCATGGCTCCATGTTCTTAATCTGAAAATATCCATCTCATAAGATATGTTGCAGTGCGGATAGATAATTTCATTAATTAGGAAATTTTGTGAATGAGTCAAGGCATAAGCAACTCAAATTTGCAATGAAAGTAGAACTGGTGAGGGGTACTTTTAGGGAATATATATATTAAAAATAGCTAATCCGCACGGACGATACGTTCATTGCGTCACTGGAAGAAACCAGAAGCTTTCGCATTTATTGATCACATTTAGCATCCATCTTTGGTCTCTTTCGAAGAGGGTAGACTTAACGTCAAGTCCTCCGCTTGTCAGCCTAATCTGCTAAGTGCCAAACTCATAGTCGGTAATAGATCACAGGTTCAAATCTAAACGTTGAGTCATTCGTTTATCATGTCACAATACTAACGTGTATGGAAATTAAGCAGAAGCAAACTAGTTACTCATTCTATATGGCATGTCTGTACAAATAATCGATTTTCATTGATTGCGTCGAGAGAGGATCAACGCAACCTCAAATGGTCTCTGAAACGAGAGTAGGAGGAGTGGACCTCGTTCATTAGTGAGGTTCATCACAGACCACATTCACAAGATCACAAATTTTCCCTGCAAAGGGTTTTAAGTGCCGAAGTCAAGTCTTCTTTATTAGATGACCAAGTTCATGAGGTTAGCGATCCGTTCCCGCCTACTGATTTCTTGACAAAAAGCTTTTCGCCGATTGCCGTAGTCTGAGCAGCTGTAATGAACGGCTGGCTACTGGTTTTCAGCAGTTAATTTCCACCTTTCGGTCAATATGTCAGCGCTCTAACAGGCAGTTGCACTCTCTTTTAACATTAGACCGATGAGAATGTTTAACTTATGCACCGCAATTGATTATTGGCCGTTGTTGAGAAGGGAATCCAACTGTTGTCTTTCGTAAAGTTAGTAATGTCAACCTTGAATGAAGCCTTCGCGGTGTTAATGACCGTTTTGAACTCTAAATAAATAGATAAATCGGCTAGCCTTCGTTCGGCTGATGACGGCACCGGCATCTATGGACCGCATGTTTCATGACGCTAAATAAATTTGCTTTAAAAGGATGATGAGGTTAGTCAACCTCCACGTTACCACTGCCACCTTAAGTTTCCAGAACATTATTTCACCTTGAAATGCACGTTTTACTTCTGTCGTTACCTCCTTTCCATGAAGTGGATACTGAATCTGGACCTTAGATAACAATTGAATCATATAGTGGATTGTTGAGCTTAAGTTGCAGCACCACCAGCACTCGACTCCTGCAAGTTTGTTCTTGTTCTCAGTGATGCATAACGTTAATAATTGAAGAAAACATCTGCAGTGCAGATCCATGCCGAAGGTGATCAGTTTATATTATGTGACAACATACGAGTTTTGGCCAAGTATGATGTAGGTGCATGCCTGGTGGCCTGGAAATAAATCTGATATGAATCAAGATGCTGGAAAGCTGCTAAATGACAATACCGTGTTGCAGTAACAATCTATGTGTCACTTTAATATACTCTGATAAAATGCTTATGCTAATAACTAACCGAAATTTTACGGAGCATGAGTAAAAATTTAGTTTTACATGAGCACCCTATGAACATAGACCAAAGCTGTGCTTATACAAAGCCTGCATTTTGAACACATTACCCTATGATCTAGAAAAGGCAGCACCTAACAGTGCATACAATAATATACTGAAAGTGAGGAAAATGAAGATTTTACGATCAATACTTGGAGTGAAGTGGTGAGATCGAGCATCTAGGGCTGTCGTAAGTGAGAGCAGGATATTCAACTGGAGTGATCGATTGGTTGCAGACAAAGCCTTTAAAACGGCGGAGTCAACGTCAGCAAATAGGCGATTACCGCCTTACCAAGAGAATATTGGCATCAAAGCTTAATGCCAAGCGAGCAAACGGAAAAACCTCAGACGAAAAGGAAAGATCCCGTTAGAACCACCACATCAGCGAAAGCCTGACAAGCAAACGCATGCGCGTGAAGTTCGAACTAGTGCCTAGTTCGGCATAAAACAGCTTCGGAAGACATTGTACTCTAATAAGATGTCGGAAATGTTCAGATTTTCTTTTTATACAGTTCTTAGCATCTGAACATAAATAAGCGCCAAAGGTATCAGTGACTCAAAGAAAGTGTGATTCAAGCGCATTAATTTTCTTCGAAGGTAGTTTTCAAGCACGTGATGCATACAAGCCATTAAGTAAGGCTACGCAGCGTGGTCTCAATAGCTTCTCGTTGATTTATTTTTTAGGACGATCTCTACGGGCAAATGCTAAGGCTTAACGGTCAACGCGTCCAGCGAAATCAGCTGCCAGATTGTTCACGTGATCCAGACCGGTTTGAGGATGAGCTTGACTACAATGTGACCTCCGACGCAATTACCGGCGTATCGCCGTTCGACTGCGAGTCATCGGCAACAAATTCGCATGCAGGGCAATTCGCTGATGAAAGAGGTCACGATGATGATGTCACTGAAATCGGTTAAGTAACCACATTACAGCGAATGACCGCTTCAAAGAGTGGCGCTTAACGCACGAGGTACAGCGTCATTTCGGGGCGATGCAACACTTCGTCGCCAACATCGTACATCAAGCAGAGTAGCGCACTGTGCACCTTCGATCACTGATCCCTGAATGATTGAAAACTAACGAATTCATCGAATTTGAAAGTTTCATTACAAACTACAAACCACCTTACTACAAGTAAAATGAACGTTTCGCCTATGAATGACAGCAACTTTTCCTCTGATAAGAGAGTTTAAGAAAGCAGCTTAAATTTAAACGATTATGACGTATGACGTAGGCTAAGAAGTTTTGGCCAAAAGTGATTGGACTGAAAGTGACATTTCGAACCGCAACTAAGAGATATCACATACAAGTGGGATAAGAATGTACTTTGATCGCCGTTGCCTTTTAAAATCTCATCTCTTGCACCGTTGTGAAGAATCGACGACGTTCCTAGCATTGACGGGCATGAAAAGATGAGGTGCTGTAGCACGTATTGGCCTTGATCGCTATCACAACAATGAGACATGAGCATTGCTTCTTTGTTGGCTCCAGGTATATTCTTTTTTGGTTTGCTGCACTAGTGCCTACGGCACTCCTGCCCGGGGTAATTAACTTATTGCTCAGTGCCATTAGCAAAGCACTAGTAGCACTAGTTATTAGAGCAAAAATGCTCCAATCTACAGTAAAGGAATTGAATTGCATTTTCCTTAAAATATTACTGATTGGGAAACGCTAGAGAACTTACTATAAATTTTTGCCATTCGTGGAGCTGACAAAGCATAGGTACGTCTTTACCAATGCATTGGCGTAGACGTTTTCTGGGAGGCTTAATAAGGTAATGCCCAAATAATTGGAGCACTCCTCATGATCTTCCTGCTTGAACAGAAGTACTACCATCCCAGTTCTTCGTCGACTGGTGGTTTCTCCGTAGTCATTGCAGTTTGACAACAAGTGTTAGCCTCGGCAAGCCACGACGCCTCGTTTGCCTGATGCTCTAAACACCTCATGGCGGATTTTATCGATTCCAACAGCATGGTCACTTACAAGCTTCTTACATCTTCTGTGATCGCATCAGCAGAATGACTAGTTGCTATTTCCCTACGCTTTTCATGCGAGGCTCTCCAGCTTGCTTGGGTTAAGAAGCTTCTCAGTGTACTCTCGCCATCGCATCCTCGTCTTTTTTCAGAAAGCGTAGGGACATATCCTTATTACTCTTAAACTGTATTTTTCTCAATATCGGAGGCAGCGGATTGGCAGCCAGAATAATTTGTTTTGTAATCGGAATATTCGAATTCAGCATATTATTAAACATTTCCCGTGAATCAGCTTTCTCTAGATCTACTTCTCTAGTTGCCTCTGTACGCCCTTCTTCGTTCCGCATTTGACTGAAAGCCTCATCGGTTCAAAGACCCTATTATGCTCTATTATTCCTGCTGACAGCCAGTTAAATCTCTGATGTCCGACAGAAAATTCATCTCTGACCATAAGGGGCAGTTCGAAAGTATTGAAATCTTAAAGTATACATATTCGTATTTTTAAACTTTTGCAAGTATTAAAATGATTGAAGTTACCTCATTTCTTCGAACTGTAGTCTCTCTGATTGATATTTCCTCGCATCATGCGAGGCCAAACGAATGAAAACCTGCCTGTCTTGTTGTTTTGTATTGTTGACATTGACAGCGGAATTATTTTAGCGCTGCTGATTTCACTAGTGACATCAGATCTGTCTTTATGTAGTACAAATGAGGGTCCTATTTTTAGCTGTGACCGTAACATTTCGAAACCTTGGCCTAGACTCGCCCAATGATACGCAATTTTTAAAGTGATAACGAATACATAGCATCAAATGACCGTTAAAAAGCGTCGAGTTCCCACGCTGCGGATAATTGATCCGCGTTCTACGTTGAGAGGGTCATTATTTTCATCGCCTCAGTTGGACGAAGAATTATGGTGATGTCATCAATGGATACTAGGTGAAATAATCTATTTTCATAGCGTCTTTGAGTAAACGACGTAAATCGCAAGGATTGGTGGCGAAACGGCGCAAGACTGTTAAGTCGAAATGCTGCGACTACCCTGATTGGCTTTTGTGTCGCAAGAAAGGTCAAATGACGTCACCAACGGCCTCCAGTCTGACAGCAAAAGCCTAAGTGGAATTAACAGGCTGTAACGCCGCCAACGGTCAGCTGTGCAAGAGGTCAGCGAGGTCCAGTAATATGATGATACAAGCGCGAAGGCCGTTAGTGTCAACTGTTGCCGCCGACACAATCAAACATCTCCCTGGCTGCTTGTAGCTAGAGGTCACTAGTTTGCGGCGAATCGCCATTTCCTTGCTGGTCAGTTAACAGGCGTGCACGGACATTACGGACACACCGCTGTTACGGGATCAAGCGCGTTAATCGAAACAGAAATCAGTTAGCGTCGGGTCGAACGCTTGTGGACGTCAGTCAATCGCTTTTCTCGGTGCATCATGGACAGCGCGTTGGACTTCTCTATGAAAAAGAGGCCGGTCGAGAATAAGAAAAGCCAGATTCGTGAGTGCCACTCTCATCCTCATTCTCTGCAAAGACTGGTTCATCCGAACAGTTGGAAGGCTGCTATCACTCCACCGTCGCCGTGCATGCCTCACAGCCCTATTCAAAATTCGAAGACGTTGTTCGACATGTTAAGGTATGGTTCGAACGCGCTCGACGTCGTCACAATGTCGACTACGCTGAACGGCATGATGCCTTCATATTCGCCGATGAGCTCGCTGTCTATTAGCCCTAGAGTACTAAATGCTTCTTCGACCATTATGGGAGGTCCAAGTCTGATGAAAGCCGCTGCGGAGTCCACTGTATTTCCAACAACATCTTTGGCCATGTCGACTTTCCATCACCGTCGCAGATCGAACAGCGACAACACGAACAGCGGTGACAGCGAAACTGAAACTTCCTGCAAAAAACCAAAGTGCATTCCAGATGACAAGAAGGTTTGCAGCATTATTTTTTGTTATTCGTGCTCCCCGTCAGTAGCTTCTTCTAGACATAGTCGCAGCGTTACCCTGTCTTTGGCTTTTGCCTTCGCAAAAGTACATATACGTTTTTTCACTAGATATATGTTCGTACGTCGTTCATTATTCGCTTGCCTGATTTCTTTTTTCAACTCTGCTGACTAGTTTATTCCTACGTAATACTGTATCTACTGTTTAGGACATCGCTTATTGGGAACGCCGTCGAAAGAACAACGAAGCTGCCAAACGGTCCAGAGACACTCGCCGAGCAAAGGAGGAGGAAATCGCATTGCGGGCCGCTTACCTCGAGCAAGAAAACTTGAAACTTAAAGCACAGGTGAATGTACTGAAGACGGAAACTGCACGATTGCATTGCATGCTATTCAGCCACGTGCAGACGGTTGTGTCCTGCTGAGGGCACCACGTGCACGTCAATCAAGTAAAGAGTCATCACCTCAGATAAATGCGGAAACCA